CGTTACAGTATGTGTGCCTCGCAGCCAATCGAATGCTTTCAGCACCCTTTCATTTCATCTTACGTGCACGTACTTGCCTTTTTTCGGGCAAATCGATACGTAAGTAGCTGTAATATCTGGAAGTGTAATTTTGAAATTGGTTATTCGTTATTCTTTCCATTACTGACAGCGAATGTGGATGTTTTTCACCGGCTTATTAGCTTTAAAACTGAACTTCCAAAGCTTTGTATTGATAGAGCGGAATGATTGCTGTATTTATCAACTCACGACTAAATCATTTAAACAATTGCATTGAAATATTTATTTTGCACTCGCCATGCGCGTATAGCTGCAAAGAGGAATGCTAACCGTCGTGAAAGCATTCCAAAATAAATCAAACACTAGCGGTCTTTTGCCCTTTACTGTCAACTAAGTCCACTATTTATGAGTCAACCTAAGTGGACATCGAAATAATCAGCATTACGTTCCAAATAATTTTCAAAGCAAATGTCGGTCATTTTACCATCTAGGACAGTCAAACTTCAGTCGCCAGATAAGCAGCAGTCTTTCTTTAGCTTTAAAGACTCAAGGAATCACTCTCTTTGGCATAAGTTGCACATCATATTTACTCAAGAAATTCAAGTACAGACTTGGACTGTGCCACAAAAAATTTTAATAGATGTTACCGTAATCATCTATACTTCTCCCACTATTTAAATTTATACACAATTTACACTACATTTCATGTATGTAATATAATTTATTTAAACGATATACCTCTATGTAAAAAAATATGTGTACACATACACTACTCACAAATATTGAAGGATTTTAAAAAAAATTCTAAATTTTTGGGATAATTTTGAATAAGGAATAACTGGGAGAGAAATAATTGTCCAGAAAAAGAAAAAAGAAAATTGTAGCTTCAAGTTTCTAGTTTTTAGATCTGAGCTGTAGGATTGATTACCTTAGGCGGTTTTTGAGTAATCATCGAAAAACGAACGAAAATACATTTTTCTGAAATGTTCTATGAACTTCAACAAAATTTTTTCTATCGTGTGACTTTAAAATTCTTTTAGGCAATTGAATCAGTTTTAATTTGCTTTTTTAAACAGTTCCGTACGATAATTTGGCTCAGAGTAATCGCCCATTAAAGCAAAAAAAGTCCATTTTGAGTTTGATAATCAATTCCTCGGAATTAAGTAATCGTAAAGAAAATAAAAGTAAAATTTTAAAAACTGCAAAACATTTTCTATGACATGTGACTAATGGCTATTGATAAAAACTTTTTTTTCGAAGTAATAATGTTAACTGAAAAAAATAAAAAATTTACGAATTTAAGGACATTTAGAAAATTTGGTATAATTTTAGATATAATGGATGAATGAAAGATGTCGACTTGAATTTTTCAATCTCAAAGTGTTCCCAAAAACCATATCAAAGTTACGGAGCACAGCGATTTATTTTTCTCAGTGCCTCAAAGATTCAAAATTAACGTTTCTATAAAAAATCACCGTAACAAGCAATTTTTTAGATTTTAATTCATTTTATCAATTTAAAAATGTTTTTTTGGCAATAATAAGTAAATTCTATATTGAAAGAAAAAAATTACCAAGAAAAATATTTTTTTCTCAACGTGCATGCAATGCTTCATTATCATAAATTTTGACTGTTCTATTACTCACCAGTGGCAATTATGGTACCCAAAGCGTACCACATGGAGGTTGCACGGTCGCATTTACGCTTTTTACACAGGCGCGCGCATGTGTTTGTATGGTTCTTTAGGAGGAATAAGGTACGGTGATCCTACTAAAATATTTAGCATTGCTGGCATTGTTTTGGATCATCGCATGCAAACGTTCTCGCATATGGATGCACCTCTGAATGTCTTGCTGGCTTATTCTCCGCCAACATTGGATGAGAGCTTGAGACAGCTGTCGTAAATTGTATAATTATAGGTAGTCCCTCCGCAACCAACGCTTAAGCATGCCCCAACGTGCTTGATTGAATTCAAATCGGGACTTACTGGCGGGTGATTCAGTATTACCACCTTGTTGGCAACAAATTTTCTAGTACGTACGGTGATATGAGGGCGAGCATTATCCTGTATAAAAATCATCCAATTTTCCATCCGTCTACGCACAGGAAGGACGTACGTATGGTTCAAGAATTACATTAACGTACATTTCGGCAGTTAATATTTCATTAACGATCACTAGTGGAGTTTAAGTATTGTAAGCAATGCCTGCCTACACCACTACTGAACCGTCATTTAATCCCGTAGCTGATCTTATGAAATTGTAAAGATTAGAAAACTAACCAATTATCATACCTATACGCGCAATAGGTTCTCGACGAGATTCACGAACGATAGCTCGATAGTAGTTATTCTTGGCTTACCTTGACCTGGTCGTCGATCGTGAATTTGGCTTTCATTGAATCGCGCATAAGCCAGACTAATGACTGACTGGCTTACCCCCAATCGCGCAAAAACTTCGACCTGAGTACGACCCTCTTGAAGTAGGGTAATGACGCGAACGACATCTGTGTCAGAAAGGTATCGCCTTGGCATGGAATGTCAAAAAAATTAAATATTTGAGGTAGTTTTGAAAAAAAACTGTTTTGTGATTGTAAAAAACTGTATTTTAATGATAGAAGCTACAGAAAAATAAAATTTTCGAGATTTATGTGAAGAAAATCAGTCAAAGGTTAGGAAGGATATTAACTTTATTTAATTAATTTTTAAAATGACACTTAAAACAAAAACGATTAGAATGGTAAAAAAATAAAAGAATCTTTTTTTGACAAGTGGAGAACATCATTAATACAGTAAAAAGATTTTTTTTTTAATTTTTGAGAAATTTTGTTTTTTGAATATCATTTTTTAATGTACATGAAAACTGTAAAAAATTATGATAATGAAGCATTACGTACGTGCTGAGAAATAAAAATTTGAAAATAATTTTTGTTTTTTTGAAAAACATCTTTTTTAGTTTTTGTGAGTAGTACAGTTATACCTACACAGCCAGTAGCTTAATTTCTCGGAATGTCTCTCTGAACTCCCTGCAGTCATATTATTTTGTTTTGCTATTTCGTTGCTCAAAAATTATAAATTAAATTTATCTTGATTTCACATATTCCACACTCTTATAACTATTCATTACAATGACATATATGATATATTTTACGAGAAAAATTATAACGAAAACTGGCGAAAATATAGATCTAATCAAGTGTTTTATAGGAGTTATGCATGCCATTGAAATGTATCGATGCCACATAGAATAAATGTCATCGATAACAATAGAAGTAATACCCCAACGTCTAATCTAAGTTCATGACCCGGTGACGCTCGCGTAGATAATGGGAATCGATGTGCAAACACGCACTTGAATCGGGCCTACAATACAGGAGATTTCGTTGAACTTATCATTGAGGGAGATTCACCTCGTTGTCGGTAGCGTGAGAATGAAAAACTGTTAAAGCTGAGAGCGGGTGAGCGAGTGAGTGAACATGAAAATTACGTGCTCTGAACAAATATTTGGGAATGATAAGCGATGTAAAGTCCGCGTCACTGATACTAGATCAATTCAGACGTGATTACAACTGATTGTCTGAAAATAATATTCTTTAATTTAATATACGAACTGAAATTTATAGTATTAACCACTCAATATAATACAATAAATGTAATAAATGCTGTCTTTCTGACACCACTTGATTGTTAGTTGAACTTCGGAGATTAACATTATTGTATTTGCCATTCATTTTGTCAGAGCACTTTTTTGTCTTGTAGAAAATATCGAATATTTTCGTATCTTCTCAATTAGTTCAGTGCGTTTCCATTATACCGATCATTCAAGTTTCAAATTTACGGCATTCACGAGGTAAATATCGCAAGAAACCAGCACTCTATATTTCAAATTAGCAGAAATGAAAAAATTTCTCATTACCAAAACCAATTTGTCATCAATTCAAATTCGCACAATATTCTTACAATTTTGAAAATTGCAATTATGAAAGAAAAGATATATATATAAGATTCGACAGAGCGAAATCAAAACTACCTGTTCAGTTGGCACACAACATGGATGCCAGTTTTTATCAGTTGATTAGCAATCAAACGCGAACATATGGCCGTTGCGAGTTTTATGAGATTATCATGCACTTGCTATTAGCTATGCACTGGTGTATCTCGTCGTTGTCAAACAAAAGCTCTATTTGTTGGAAAATACCCTCTCTCTCTCTCGCTGTCTTGTTTATCGATTTCACGCTAATTGTAAATTTATTGGACAATTGTAATAAAAAAGTATAATGAAGATTTTTGGCAAAAACTGAAAATACAATAGTAGAAAATAGAAAAAAAGCTAAGTTTCATATCGTATGTCGAGGCAAGCTGCAGATGAGCGTTGCGGTTAACACCTGTGGAAACGAGCGTGAAAGAAGGCGGTAAATCAGCTGTTCGTCGCGACTATTCAGAGCAATGATCCTCCTAAGAAATCCACTAGCAGTAACAATAAAGTCACGCAGCAGCAGCCACCTTGGAGCTGCACTTGGCTTGGCCGTGAAATTTTAAAGCAGCGTAATCGGCCCACCGAAACCTCTAATCCCGTAACGAGCCGGCACGCGTCTCAGGGTGGTTTTCTATATATGCGTGTGCATGTGTGTGCGCTGGTCTCTTGTAGAGAGAGAGAGAGAGAGAGAGAGAGCGCGCGATAGAGTGGGGAGTTATGTGGTGGCAGTAGAAACGGGGCGGCTTCTCGAAAACGAATAAGGGAGGGAGCCAACATACACGCGACCCTACGGCTATATATGACCGTAGCCGCCACCAGACGCGTGCACAGTACAATTTTTGTAGTCGCGCAGACACCAACTCCCTCGGTTTCTCTGGCTCTCACTTAGCGAGCGATCGTTCAACGCGTTTTCTTTTTCGACGGTTGGACAGCGCAATACCATCTTTTTAGTCAGTGTGTTGAATGAATCGATAAAGTGCTTTGCTTTAGATTTGAGGTTTACCCAAGATTTCATTTTTTACGATTGTGTAGCACGAGCCGATTTGATTTCTCTTTTGCGAGTGATTTGAATAAAATTTTTGTCAAAGGGCAGTTTTGGAGGATCTTGCCTTGACTGGCCGACCAGGTAACTTTTGTCAACTGCACCGATACTTAACTTTGACTTTCGGCTATTGGATGTTGAGAAATCTTTTTTCCTCTATCTCCAATTGATTAATAAGAAAAATGACATTTACTCGAAAGCAGCGTTTGCTAATTTATTGCCGCTAATTGTTGTCGAATGTTCAGTTTGCTTACCTTGGATTTAATCTAGAGAAAAAATAGAAAAAAATAATAAAGATCAATCTTTATAAAATTTAGAATAAAATATCGTTCGGTTAACTACTTACTAAATAAATGTGAGCAATAGCATTTGCAAGCGGTTCCTTGCAAAGAGCTACTTTCTACGACTTCTATATGGTCGTTGTACTGTTTTTATTTTGAAAAGTATTTGTGTTGATAGTGGAGTTTGGCCAAATGTTGAACATGTCGTCGGAGTATTCATACTGCAGCGAAGGTGGTTTCGACGAGATGTCCTCGTCGTCGGACTCGGGCTTCGACGTGAGCTTCGAGTCGCCAAAGCACGAGTTAGTTGCAGACGCACTTGCTAATTTCCCAGCCAAAGAAGAGAAACGCAAGAAGACACGCAACGCACGCTGCAAGAGTCCCACGCAGGTACACAGGTTCTTCGTTCTCTCTCGCACCCTCTTTCATCTCGCGCTCGCGCACTTCCGACGGAAAGAGAGATGCACACACACGCACACACACACACAGAGCGCCATAGGACAAAAAGTGAAACGCATTTCCGATGTATTCATAAGAATGCGACGTTTCCGTTTTCTTCTTCGTGTTTGCGGTTTTTATTTCCGAGTTGTACCTTTTTCGCGTCCTCGATTGTTCAGACTTTCATCGTTGCAATTGCAACCTTTGCGTTAATTGTCCCGCATCGTGCATCCGTTGCTCTGTCTGCACAATGCTCGGACTGCAAAGATAAAGCTAAAGACGTTGCGTTTGATTGACTTGCAGGTTCTGCGCCTGAAGCGATCGCGGCGCATCAAAGCCAACGACCGCGAGCGCCACCGTATGCACACCCTAAACGACGCCTTGGAGCGCTTGCGCATGGCCTTGCCCACATTTCCAGAAGACACGAAACTCACGAAAATCGAGACTCTTCGCTTCGCGCACAACTACATCTGGGCGTTGCAGCAGAGCCTCGGCAGCACTTCGTCGACCGGCAGCGAAATAACGCTGAGCGTGGGTAGCGTAACCGTGAGCATCGGCGAGAACGGCAACATGATCACGTCGTCGACGGGCAGTTGTGCCGTCGCTGCACAGAAGCGCATGGGACCGGCCACTCACGGTCTTGCCAACGGCTATTGCCCGACGGCAATGCCACCGACGCACCAGCACATGGACTGGCCGTCGGAGTACGACTGCTACTCGAGTGACCAGAGCGTGAGCCCGCCACAGTTGCAGCAGCATCATCATCATCATCATCATCAGCCCCAGCAGCAGCAGCAGCAGCAGCAGCAGCAGCAGCAAACAATGGCTACGCAACAACAGCAGATGCATCACCTGCAGATGCCACAGACGGCTAACCACGTTCCTTACAGTCCGCCGCAGCATTGCTACGACCAGAGGATTCAGTACCACTTCGATAGGCACGACGTCTATCAGTGCCTGTAGTGCCTCGAGGCTTGTTGCTAGATCGCGGATTCCACAGAGGCAGACAGACGCCTCTACAGAGAGACTATTTTTGCACGAGCGACTTTTACAGAGATGCACTTTTACGAGTGGGTACGTGCGCGAAATAACTATTTTTTACCAATGGCCGTATACCATTCGATGCATTATACAGAGTTTCACATTTTCTCAAATTCTAGTTGAAGCAGTTTGCGAAATTTTATATGAATATATTACGAGATATAAATGATGAGCGCATTGGCCTTTTTCCAAAGTGCATATTGTGTACACGCGACAAAAACAAACTTATGGTAACATATTGTATTCGGTCGAAAGTAACACTTGTGTACTTAATCATTGCGTCCACATGAACGTTCGTTAACTACTTTTTAAGGCGTAGAACTAGACGTTAATAATTCCTTTTTCTTTTTGTACCCCGCGAAACAAAAAGCTCCAAAGATCGCCAAAGGATTTTGCCTTAAGATTTCTTTTCGGTCGAAAGTCCTGCGTCCTTTTCGTTTTCTAGTCATCCACATGCTACTGACACTATTGTCATATCAAATAGATCACAATCTACGATCTCAATTCTTATGTCTTAATTTTCTTCTCTTTCATCGATGTATTACTGCGTATAGATTGTTCTTTTTTAAGCTTTTAAGGCCAGTAACGATGCCGCCTTGATCAGTGCTCTTATATTATATTATATACTATTGTATAGCCAATTTATCGTGAATCAAGGATAAACATTTGTACAGAATTTGTATATTGCCAATAAATCGTATTTTACTTAAATCATTATATTTCATGATTTGACATTAACTCGTCACATTCACTAAATCGTTAATCATTTACAAAACAGCGCTTCTGCTTGAGACCAATCGAAATTCATTGGTCATGGATTCTAGCAATAATCAGCAATATTGGCATTTATCGGCCCACGTCATTGGCTCGATTTTCATTTACGTTGCACGCTAATTGCTTAGGCATACCTTAATTGAGTTAAAAGACAGCTGAAACTTAATCTGTTCTTTCATCAAATCACGGCTTAAATCTGATCAGAACCAAATTTCGGAACCACGATAAAGCTGAGCCGTGCGCTTGCACGTGTGCGCGCCGCCATTCCGGAAAATTGCCATGGCGGCAGATGTATCAGGGCCAAGTTAATCCCTCGGATTACGCGTGCGGCATGATTTTTCGCGCGTGCGCGCTGGTATTCGATAAACGCTTCGACACTCGTGAACAACGGCATAAAAAATGTTTCTTTTGTTTGCCTGTGCTTTTCGGCGCACACCGTACTACAGCTTTTCGAGTATCAGAAATGACAAAAGACTTTGACGCAGAAAGAAAGCCGACCTCCAAAAGTAAATATCAATCGTTGTACGAAAGATCATTAGTTATATCGAATCTTCGTACCATCGTTTGGTTTGAAAATTTACAAAACTGTCGCAAAAAAGAAACAAGTAACTTGTCATTATACAGACGTGAAAAAAAACTTGAAAGTTGCCTTGACTTCGACTAAAGAGAAGCTCACAGGGAGACAAAAACTAAGTAATAAAGCCGGAAACTCGAAACTAAACATTAAAATACATTAGCCAAAATAGCACTTTTGACTTACGAGGCGTTTGACAAAGGGCGACAGAAAGAGAAAGAACGAGAGAGAGAGAGAGAGAGAGAGCGGGCGGTTTCTCTAATACATATGCACGACTTTATACATGATCGAAAAGGAAAGAGCACGAGAGAGATGATCGAGCAGCTTTTGAATTTTAGTGGAAGGCGAGACTATGGGTGTTGAGAAAATAAATAGGCACGCGTCGCTCCGATCGACACATCGGCAAAAGTAGCGCTTGCATTGCACACGCGGAATGATCTATCAAAACAGGGGCGCGGTTCGACTCTCTCTCTCTCTCTCTCTCTCTCTCTCTCTCGTTGTCGATGAAAAGAAAATATTTGGTCGCGCACTTGCATAAATTCAACTCGAGTGCTTGTTCTGGCATTGTGCTCTCTTATTGTCGTAGGTGGTGCAATGAATTTATTTCGCAATTCATCAGAAAGGGTTGACGTGACAAAGAAATTCGTTCGATCTGAGAAAAGAAGCTCACTTGGCGTCATTTCAACCGACGGGAAAGACATTTCTCAATGATGGAATATAAGAGAAATTGGAAATTGAAAGAACGACAGAAGCACCGATACATCAACATAACGAAGCATGAAACATCAGATCGATATATAACAATCCATTGGCGGACGACAATATCTCCATCGACGCGTGCCATCAGCGAAGCGCCCGAATATCTCTGTTTGAAATTGGTCACGGCGTTTAGTATCGAAACGATCGATGAAATTGACTATAGGCCTATTTGCAAACAGACAAGCTGCGTCCAATCCGTTGGCCACGCTGCAGTTTCCCCAAATCTCGCCAATAATACTAATACCCTGAATGCTTATGTACACATAGAGCGCGCGTGCGCCTGTACGTGAACGACAGACGGCCCCCGAGGTGTTTTTGTGTGTACGTGTGCGCGTATCGCGGGCTTGCAGTAATTCCGTAAAAAGAATTTTTTTTCTATAGCCAAGGTTTATCGAGGGGCTGCAGAGAAACCACTAAGATTTCGGAAATTGATAGATTGAGCTAGACTCTTTTTTAGCATATAGTTGCAGAGCCTGTAGACCAATTTGATTGTCGGTAACGGCATCGTTCACTAGTGCAAGTAAATCATCTTTTTGTTAAATAAGTTTTGTTGGGCGTTGCCGGAGCACAATGAAAAGTGAAAAGTTGAAGACGAGTGGCTGGGCTTTGACGGTTGGAATATCGTAATGTTTGAGCATTCGGGTCGAATCGGCGATGCGCGCAACAGTGCATGGTCGATTGTTGTACGAAGCAAGCGAGAGTAGCAATGGCATCCTTAAAAAACCAAGAGAAGCAAGCAGCTTTTGCTCCGGCATTACTCTAGGTAAGCATTTATTTTGATCGCGAGTACTGTGATTTGCCTTTGATCAAGGTTGAGCGGAAAGGGCTTGGGTCGTTTCCGTCGAGTGCACATATCGATCGGCTCTCTTCGGTGCGCGCTACGTACAGCAACACATTGTACTGGGGTGCTGGTCTGTACTCTGCTGGCAAACGCGGTGACATACTGCTGGTGGCTTGACGTGCAGAGCCGCTCCCCCGTCGAGCGAGCGCCCGAGCGAGCGCCCGAGCGAGCGCCCGAGCGAGCGCCCGAGCGAGCGCCCGACCGAGCGCCCGACCGAGCGTCCGACCGAGGGGTTGTTGCTCGTTTTCACGTACCCTGCACACAGAGAGTGAGAGAGAACGAAATTGCGATTCCTAGATTCTGGACATTTTCTCTCCTGACAATTGCCCGATCGGTTAATCGATGATCAATTGCCAAGAGCGTGCGCGCACTTTACAGGCGCATCCGTATACGTCCACGAGTATTGTAAGCTGGTGCAGTGGGGAACGGGATTAAGCTGACCTGGCTAGGGGGGACTTTTATTATAGATTGTTTAAATAAATATCGAGGCATGTACTTTTCCACCAAAACGCTTCCATTACATGAAATATTTATTTCAAGTCATCCGAAAATAACGAGCGCACGTTAAGAGGATGGAACAAAAGGCCGCTAATTTCCGAACAATTAGTTGCAACTTGGTCGAGCGAGAGCCGGCGCGTGCACGTGTTCGGTTTCCCTTTAAAAACTTCAGGTAAAAGTTGAAGCTAGCGCTTCGTACGTCCGTGGCACGCGGGCACACACATGCATGTACATTGAAAAAGGGAGCAAATAGGAAAGAGACAGAGAGAAAGAGAGAGAGAGAGCAGAGTTGTGTGGCATCGAGTTTCCGCATCTGTTTTGAATGCGAAAGGCTCTGGCTCTCGGGCTTTTCACCATTGTGACGCCCGGCATTCGCAGGCTTTTGTGGTAAACCGCGAACAAAGCAACTCGCGCCCTAAAGCAACGCTCGCACGGCCCACACGAGAGAGCAAGGCAGAGAGAAGTACAGGCCAATATAATAATAATATTTATAGTCGACGAGTTCGTTCGCTTGCAATATCTCTCTCTCTCTCTCTCTCTCTCTCTCTCTCGCTGTTTCGGAGATTTATATATTAATATGCGATATTCGCAAGCTTACACTTGATACGCCCAGAAAAGCTTGGAGCTTTTCATTACATATCTGTGACGGCGCACTGCCTAACTATCGCCGATTTCGTTTCGACTGCTCAGGCAATCCATCGTATCCTACAAACAGAGTCTCCAAACCATTGTGCCGGGAAAAATCTATAAAAAAAATATTGCATAAACTCCTGACCTAAATATGATCAATGATTTTCAATAACGAGCCAACTGAATCCACTAATTTGCAATTCCACTTATTCAGAAAGATTAACGTTAAACGTCTACTATGTGTGTCGTGAAGTTATAATTATCGTTTATCTATCAACTGCTCAAACAATTAGAGGCCTTATCAGAGTGATTCCCATTCTTGACACGAAAGAGGTTCTTCCCAAAGAGCGTTAATTTCCTTATCAAACATTATCGCCTCTATGCGACCAGTAATATAAAAGGCTCTGCAAGGAGCTACCAAAGCATCAGTAATCAATTGGTTCGGAACGAAAGCAATAACAAATCTACAAGCAATCATGAAGGCCGTATACTTCGTTTTCTTGTTGGTCGTCGTCTTGACCTATGTCTCCGGCAGTTTTGGTAAGTTCCAACTTTCACCTATGTCTATGTCTTTGAAATATCTATCAATTTGGAAGGCAATGAATATGCAAACGAGTAGTAAACTAGTGGGGAAAAGTTGAATAACAGAAATTTTTTCTTTCGCAGCGTGCAAAGATCGCGACTGTTCGATCGACTGCATCATGAAAGGCTACAACACCGGTAGTTGTGTTGGCGGTAATTGCCAGTGTAGACGTAACGGTTAAAAGTTCAATTTTAACGAAGGAAAAAATTATTCATAATTTTTATGATTCATGTATGTGCTTAAATGCAAACCGAAATAAATTG